TTTTTCATGTGCATGTCTTTGCCCCATCGGGTGTAATTCTAGAGACACGAATGTTTTTGTGAGTCCACCTTCGTAGCTAACCCCAGTTTCCTCTCTTTCCCGCAGACGTGTTGAGGATGTTGGTGGAGAACTCCAACGGCGGAGGCGGGGAAAGCCGCTCCTCCACCGCCACCACCAACGGCACTAAGACCGCCACCCCCAATGGCACGCGAGGCCCCCCCGCCACCACCAGAGGGCCCCCCAACACCAGCAGAGGCACCACCAACGGCACCCCCAATGGCACCCCCAATGGCACCAGCACCAGCACCAGCAGCAGCAGCAGGAACAACAACAACAGCGTGGTGAAGTCGACCGCCTCGACGCCGACGAAGCCCACGCCGACGATCAGGACCACGAGCATCTCCGGGCCCCCGAGGACCACCCTGGGCTCCCGGACGCACTCCACCCCGGGGCCCGCTCTCACCTCGAGGGCCGGCTCCCACGCCACGACCATCGCCAAGGCCAGCATCAGCAGCAGCAGCAGTAGCAGCAGCAGGAGCATCAGCAGCAGCCCCGGCAGCAAGGGAGCCACGCCGAGCAAGAGTGCCTCCGGGGGCCTGGAGGCGCAGCTCACCTACACGCCGCCGCACGTGCTCATCCGGTCCATCTCGTCCCTGTCGCAGCACTCGCTCAGGCCGGCCACGCCCGAGCTGGACCAGGTGGGTCGGGGGCGGGGCCGGGGCGCCGCGGGCCTCGGCGGACATGGCCCTGGCGGGGCTCCTCCGCAGCCTCCTAATTCTCTTAATCCTCCTCCTCCTCCTCCTCCTCACCATCATCATCATCATCATCATCATCATCATCATCATCATCATCATCATAGTCCTCTTCCTCTTCCTCTTCCTCCTTTGCCTCCTCATAATCCTCCTCCTCCTCCCCTCTTCCCCCTCATCCTCACTCATATCCTCCTCATCCTTCTTTTAACTACTCCTGTACATAAGACATGAAGTCCATAAAAATGTGATTTTTAGATGTTATAATTTTGAATGTTTAACGGACAAAACCTTCAATATCAGTAAAATGCATGAAAATGTATATGTAACTTTTTTTCTGAAGTGAGACTAATTTGTAAATAACATATTATTAATTAGTTACTTTACATGTTGAATCTCTCGATGGTAATTTTTGTTTTATTTCTGAAAGAATTCAGTTTTCAAAAAAGAAAATCAAATATCGCAGACAGAACGGAGAGTCAGTCTGACAGGTTTCCATCTCTGACAGACCTCTTAATACAAGAATCAAAACATCTTCTAATACAAGAAACTAAATTTCAGGAGGATGGCATTGTGTCAGTACCAGCACTGCGCAAGGGCGTTTTGCTCCAGGCACGTGACAGGCTCTTCTCCAGGTGGAAAGAGCGTTACTTTGTGCTTACGAGGGACTACCTGGCGTGCTTCAGGAGAGGATCGACCAAGTATTCAGAAATGGGATCGTTCATTTTCAAGGTGAGGACATCACGTTGGATTAGGAGGGTGTGTGCGGTGTTAAATGGGTTGAACTGGATTGGGTCTTATTGGCGGGGCTCTACCAGCGGGCTTTATACTTGCACTGTCAGTTAGTCTGTCTGTCTCTCTCTCTTTCTCTCTCTCTCTCTCTCTCTCTCTCTCTCTTCTCTCTCTCTCTCTCTCTCTCTCTCTCTCTCTCTCTCTCTCTCTCTCTCTCTCTCTCTCATTCTCATCTCTCTTCTCTCTCTCTCTTCTCTCTCTCTCTCTCTTCTCTTCTCTCTTTCTCTTTCTCTTTTTCAAAAGAAACAGAGGTCTGTCTCTCTGTCTCCTGCCCCTTTCTCTCACGTCCCTTTCTCTCCCTTCTCTGCTGGTCTCTAAACACACCTAAACCAAATCCATGTTTCGACAGGTCAACCTAGCCAGCGTAGAATGCGTAGAGTGGCAGGATCGGCGTGGTGGCCCTGCCCTGGCCCTGGCACTCCCAAGGGAAGGCCGTGTCCTCCTCAGGGCTAAGTCGGGGTTGGACCAGTGGTACAGGTTGCTTCTTGAGGCCACCAATGCCTCCCGTCACCGTCGCAATGTCTTGCGTCGTGGCACCTCCACCACACACTTGAACAACACCACAAACAACAACTTGGACTTGACACCACCTTCAAAGTCAAGTGAGTTATGGAATATGGCACAATTTTGCTTTTATTTGAAGTGATATTCATGTCATTAGGAATCACTATTAATGCAGTAGAACTGTTTAACATTGTTGATAATGTGCTTTTTTGTATTGTAGATATAATTAAAACTTTGAGGAGGAGGATTTCTGTAGAGAAACTACAGTTAAAGTGAAAGATTAAGAAATTGGAAAATAGAGATTACAGTATACCATGAAATTTTATCAAGAAATTGCTGTTGTAACAACAATTAATATATTGCAAGATTTTATTGATATTTGTTGATGAATACCTTGCTTTAGTGCTTATATCTAAAATTGTGAGAGAGCTTTAGAATTCTAGAGGGTAAGAACATGTAGAATTACACAGTTCGGAGAAAGAAAATGATATTTTTTCTCTTTCTCTTTTTATTAACTTTGCAACGATAAGGAAACCGCTATGAGAACAGTCTCCTTACCCTATCTGTTCTCTTTACTTAGGTGGCATTCAGTACAGCCTCAGTGGATCGACACCCGAGATCACCCGACTGTGTGATTCAGTGTGTGACGATTCCCCAGGTGGCACGAGCTCACGTCTCCTTACAAGGCACCATAGATTCTCTTGTAAGCTGTCATCTTTGTAGTTGTTGCCAGTGGGGTAGTTAGTGTAAGGAAGGCAAGGAGATAAGTAAGGGAAAAAAAGTAATAATGTATGGTTGGGGAAGATAGCTATGTGAATAAGGTATATGTAGATTCAACACTGATATGCACTATATAAACAGCAAAGCACATTCAGAGACTGAGAAAACTGTGGAATGTATTAGTATGTGACAAATAAATTGTTCAGATGATGGTGTTAATATTGTAATCGAGTTCTAGAAGTCCATTCTGGTTCGTTCCGAAAGATGACTGTGTCTTGTTTCTTCCTGGACAGTGCTGGCTGATGCAGACCTGGGCTCCTGCGACACAGACATTGCAACTCCACCGTCTTCAGTCACTTCCTCCAACAAGTTCAGCACCTCGACCTCTGCCTCCAACACTTCAGGTTAGTCTGTCTGCTTGCTTTGTTGCGTAAGTGAAGTAATTACTTACGTGTTTATGACACATTTTTTGTTTTTTCTTAGAAGTCCAGTTCTGTATTAGAATCTAGCTTTTATTTAACAATTATTGTATTTATTGCTCTTTCTCACGCACAATGTCTCCACTATTTCACAGGATCAGGAGGTTCCTCATCCTTGGCCTCTTCCCCCTCCCTGCGCGGTTCATGTGCTTGGCCTCGACCATCATCCCCCCTGAGGCCTGTGGTAGGTGATGCTCCACGATCAAGACTCTCCTTATATGAAGGAGCTCGGGAACTGCCCACCTCAGCCAAGATGCGGCATTCTGTTTGCCTCGAGCCCCGCGATGCCCAGGACATGGCAAGGAAGCAGAAGAACAGACACTCGATCTGCGTAGAGCCAAGGGATCTGGCCAGGACACGTGCCTCACTCTGCCTCGAGCCACGTAACCCCCTGCTGGACTTGATGGAAAGCGTTGAAGCTATTCCCACTCTCATCTCGCATGAGGACAGTCGGCTGCCATCTTCTGCTAGAACTTCACCTTCGAAGAGTGAAGGTAAACTGGTCTTGAGGACTGGGGGATCCGCTATGGAGGAGTTCAGTTTTATTATGTGAAGTTTTTATGAAATCAAAGTTGGGTGCAGTTTCAAGTAGTTCAGTACAGTTTCGAAAATCATGCAGTTAGTAGTCCATTTGCTTTTATAAAGTTACTGTATCTTGAAAAGCCCTAGCAACTGATACCATGGCTGTAGTATCATCATCATCTAAATAGTGATTGGATAGACCCCAAGAGTATTAGTATGTTTACAATTTTTTTTTTTTTCTGTTGTCACCTGCTCCTCTTTGTGGCTGTAATTAACTCTCTCTTATTATGGCTTTTTATGCTTTCTGACTTTTTCATTATATGGTCTAGTTGCTAATATGGGTAATTAGATACAATATACGAGATAATATAGAGGTATATAATTATTTTTGTGATTGTCAGTGTAAGTAGAAATTCCAGGGTGAAACAATGGATATGATTAAAGATAATTATGTGTCTTACTGTGGGAGGGAGGTTAGAGTGTTGCAGTAAGGAGGAAATTGTATGAGATAGGTGGAAACAGAATGATGACCTGAGTTTTATCTTGATCATGTTCTAGCCAACCTACATTGGTGGGACAACATCTCTGTTTGCTGAAGTTTTTATTATTACTAACTGTAGAAATAGATGTAAGCTTTGAAAATCTTAAATGGAAAAAGAATTGTTGTTTTCCATTGCCATTCTTATACAATGCTTGGAGTATGGGTAGGTTTTTTTTGCTTTGCTTCAATAGTGCTAAAATGTGAAGACACCAATTATATTTCATGGATGTTGTCCTTTTTCAATAAACTGGTATACAGTTATATGTAATGAAAACCATTTAAGTCATTAATGTCTAGTTAGTCCATAATACATCTGTAACAATTTAATGCAATTTGGAGAGTCTCGTCCACAATAGAAAGCAGCTTAGAAAAAGTATTTTTGTATTGGTTTAAATGCTAACCACCTTGCTTTTCATCTGTTTCGTTTTATAGCCATGTTTCATTTACGTTTAGATACTCCTGTGTCTTCATCTCTTTGCTCCAGTCCCATCATTTGAATTGATATCCCAGTATTTTCATCCAAGAGGTCAAGGGAATATATCTTTTGTGTTCTGTAGAGAAATTAACCAAAACAAGAATTGTTGACTGATATGAGGGGGAGGTAGTTTTTCATTTTTATTTGTGTTGGAAGGAAATTGATATGATCCCATCTTACTCTTGGTATTTTTAGGCGGATGGGAAAAAATATTGATAGATATGAGAGGATAGACAGTATTAGTGGTCTGAGCTTCACATATTTGTTACAGAGAATGATGGAAAAGAAACAATAAAAGGGCTTGATCATTTGAGACGAGTATATGAATCCTGAAAACACAATGAAAATACCTTAGTTAAAATGTCTTATAGGCTCTTCACAGAAATTTGAAAACCAACCTTATCCGAAGCACTTACATTTTTTTGTCCTTTTTGCTTGCCAGGAGACAGAAGATCGACCACCGACGTCCCCCTCTTGGTCAGCGAAGTGGACACGAGTCCTTCCCCGAGCGGTGCCCCAGCCCGTCCACGTGCACACTCCACGTCACTGACCCCTGAGCGCACCCTAGGCCCCCGGTCGCGCTCCAATCTAGGCTTCTTCCGACACTCAGGCCTCTTCAACCATTAATCTTTCTTTGGACTAGTGGTTTTGGTATTTTGACTGCCGGTTTCCTTCCATCCTTCTTACTGATGCTGTTAGAAGGGGATATGTACATTTTTATATGCAAAAAAAAAGATTGTAAGATGTGAAAATATATATATAATAAAGAGCAGAATCTAGGCACCAGCATACACTACCTCCCAACTGTGCTCATGCAATGTTGACCATCCATCTCTCCATGTTGATGAGAGAAACATTTTGACAAAGAATATGTGAATTATGTAAGCATATAAAAGTGTTTTTCATGCACACTAGAAGTTGCAGAGTCAGTGTGATTTAATCTTGTATTCCATTTTAGTGTTGAGATTGAAGGTTATATTGCTGTTATTTTACCCCATTTCCCCCCTCCCCCAATGTCATTTGTGTTTTGTCTTTTGTTCACCGTCCTAGATTTTCTAAATATTTGTAAATATTTCATCCGATATCCCTCTGGTTCTTATTAATAAAACCGTTGATAATAATGATTAAAATGAAAAGAGACAGGGCACTTTTTTCAAATAATATGGTCTGTCACATGACAAGAACAGTCTATTAAACTGGAAGTCACAAGGCAAAGATGGCGTCTTGAAGAAATCTTGACACAAAGCACAACGTGAAGCTAATAATCTCCTTGGATAGAGACTTGGCTTAATCACATCTGAATTGTGCCAAATTGAGATGAAACATCAACACATCTCGACTCTCAGAAGTAGAGGGAAATGTACAGTTGGATGTGAAAACAGTTCGATCTGGTATTCCTAAAAGAAGAAGAAAAAAAGAACGGAACAACATAGGTATTTATGTTAGATATTTGCTCAATGCAGCAAGCAATTGTTCGTTGATTTTTCTCTTGCCTCTCTGCTTTTTTCCCCCCCATCTTTTTTTCTTTTATTTTCTTTTTTGGTGATGTTCTTGAATGGCCAGATAAATATACCATGTATAAACATTGTCCACTGTGGTTTGTCATTGTTTGATGACAGATAGATACAGTTCTTGTTTATATGATGACTTTGTATGGGTGAATGTACATTTTGTAATTTTTAATTGTGTAAGTTAATAGTTAGTGGATTCTGTACAGTACATATTTTTTATTTCCAAAGTGAATATACCTTGACCAGTGAAAGTCTGTTGTATAGAATGTACAAGTATTCCCTATTGAAAATAAACTAGTCATTTTAGGGTTTGGATACAGGAACAAAGATTGATACACATATAAACAGAAAATGAAAGAAAACAAAAAGTTTTCCGTTATTTATATTAAACACATATGTAATTTTTTTCTTTTCAACCTGTTCCAGTATTCATGTTTTCTCACACACATTTCTGTATCAAGGTTTTTCTTCTAATGATTTTGAACTTTTTCTTTACTGTCATTTCATAATTATTTGTGCTATTAACATCATCATAAACATCAGAGGCACTGTGCTAATTATGTTCCATTGATGTTATTGTGATGATATTAATTTTTTATATTATTATTATTTTTTTCATCATTATTTTTTTGTTTTTATCAGCATTATCATTATAAATATTATTTTCCTAGTTATTCGTCACACCCACATTGAAATCTGTGGCTTTGGTACAGAATTTTGTGTAAGATGGAGTATGTACTTTGTGGAAAGAAACTCACACATTTTTGGCCTTGGATTCTGTCAGTCAGGGTCACATTTTTTTCTGTTTAATGTGCTATACATGTATTGATACCGGAACAGAAAGAGATGAATATTATGTTATACATAATATCAATAGATGTCCAGTTATAGTATGGATTGTAGAAAGCTTCCTTTTTTCCCTTCCCATGTACCCATTAAAAGTAAGAAATAAAAAAAGTAAAAGAATGAGAGAGAAAAGACTCATTATGTCATGAATTTGCCATGAAAAGCTGATAGGTGGAAAAGCGAAAGATGAAGTAGCACCGAGTCGCATTCTGGCAAAATACGCAGAATGTTCAAGAAGAAACAATTACCGTGTAATTATCAGGGAAATGAATGCAGGACTCTCAATAAGGACCGAACACTCACAGCTGAATACAATCACTTTACACTGGGGTTCAACTTTTCTGCCGTTCATAAAGTCCACTGTAAAACCAGCAGTTGATGTCGACTGCTTATGGCTGCGTAAGTGGTAATAGCATCTCCCGTAGGTACAGTAGGTTTGAAAGTTATACATGTTAGATAGCTTAACAGGTCTTTTGTTTTGTTTTTTCTTATGAATGTCCGACTCTACAATACTGCCAATAAACTACAGCTCTGG